TTGTTTAAGTTATAGCGTGACTGTGGAAATTAAGTGTATTGCAAAGTTGTTTTGAGAAAGAATAAACTAGTTTTATTTAAGAAAGGACTTGTATCGCTAAAGTTTCTTTGGAAAGAATTTTTATGGAAAATTAACAAATCATCAGAGACGTAGCAATATGTATATATATATGTTTAAACAAAGAACCAGAAGTGACCTTGACATTCACCTAGAGACAAGTGGGAAGGAGCTTAAGTTGGTTTGGTCATTTAGAACTTTTACTGGATTTGTTTTAAACTTTTACTTATTTCTAAAATTTCCAATCTATCTAGTTTTTTACATTTTTCACGGACATGTAATATTTTGCAGTTTGTTTCTAGATCAAATTAGTGTTTAGTTTCAATAAGGTGGGATGCAAAGGTTGACTCTATTTTCCTTAATTTCTATCTTCCAGTGTTCTTTAATTCTTGTTTCTATGGGACATCCTGTTTGACCTACATATATATATATATACACTATTGCAGTCTTGACACGTTAATTGGTAAACACCATTGTTCATGTATTTTTCAATTCGTGTAACAACAAAGACACCTAGGAAAAATATTAATTAGCCTTCTACTGTAAAATCATCGTGTAACAACAAAGACAATAGGAAAAATATTGTGTAACAACAAAGACAGAATTAGCCTTCTAATGTAAAATTATCCTAGGGAAAATATTAAATTAGCCTTCTACTGTAAAATCATGTGTAACAACAAAGACAAATATTTATCCTAGGATGAATTTACAGAAGAAAGCTAATTTTGTCTGTTGTTACACAACATTTTTCCTAGTGTTACGTCTCTGTTCGTTTGTTAATTTCCCGTATAATTTCTTTCCGATGAAACTTAAGCGACACAAGTCCTTTCTTAAATAAACTAGTTTATTCTTTCTCAATACAACTTTGCAATACACTTAATGTCCATGGTCACGCTATAACTTAAACAAACGCTATAATTCACAATGAACGAATGATTCACGAGCTTGACTCAATTGTCGTCTCTATTTCTGTCTGCAACTCAATTCCATTCCATTGTTGCCGTCACTTCTTGGTGATCTTATATACATGAATACCGCATATCTAGTAAACACTTGAGCATTCACGAACCTTCGAGAATATGACGTGTTACTAGCGTCACGTGACCTCCGCTGTCGTAACACTAGGATGATTTTACAGTAGAAGGCTGGTCTGTAGATTTCTTTGTTCAGTGTGTCATATATTTTGCGAGAAGGTTTTCCAAAGTAGTTCATCTTGAACCATTTGTTTTTGTTGTCGTTTGGTACAGTATGTGGGTATATTGATTTAAAATTTATGGCTTTCAATTTTTAAACAACAATATGTTAATAGATGACACTAGGGCACTGGTAGCTATGGATGATTTTGATATAATGGGAATAACTGAAACATGGTTAAATGTAGGTGATTTTGATGGCAGAAATTTCTTTGAAATACAGGGTTACAGGCTATTCAATATGGATATAGTATTGAAGAGGGGGAGTGGCTTTATATGTAAAATGTGAGTTATAGCCTGTTGACGTTGAGGATATTGAAGGTAACAGCAAAGAGATTGAATCCATTTGGGTTTCTATTAGTGGATATAAAGGGAAAAGGCTTTTAGTGGGAATTTGTTACAGACCACCAAATGATACTGATGAAATTAGTGAGAAACTTTACAATGAGATTAAGATTTCAGCTGTTAATGAAGTCATAATTATGGGTGATTTTAATTTCAGGTATATAGATTGGGAAATTATAGAGTCAAACTGTGAGGGAGAAAGGTTTTTGGAAACTGTTCAAAATGGATTTTTTCACCAATTAGTCGAGGAACTACTAGAAACAATGCTATTTTACACTTATTGTTAACTTCAAATACAGAAATGATTGAGAAGGTGGAAATTGGGGAACATCTGGGTGCAAGTGATCACTGCTCTATTAGGTTCAATGTTTTGCTGCATGTGGAGATAAGGAATATTTTGGTTACAAATAAGGTAAGGATTTCTTTAAATACATTAAGGGTAAATAAAATGAAAGGATGGAAATAGGACCCTTGAGGGATAATAAAGGAACACTAGTATCTGATGATTATGAGAAGGCTAAGTTATTAAATTTTGCTTTTTTTTTTTCAGTTTTTTACTAATGAAGATTTAAGCAATATTCCACATCTTGAACAGTTGATAAATAGAAACAAGATGACTGCATTAATTCTGAGATAGTTAATAAAAAATGGGAAGTTTAAAGAATGATAAGACTTTTGGGCCAGATAATACTTCCCCAAGGGTTTTGAAGGAGGTTAAAGATTGGATATATAAGCCACTTGATACTATGTTTTGTCAGTCCTTGAACAGTTGGCAGGTACCAGAGAATTGGAAGTTAGCTAATGTAACTCATCTTTTCAAGGAAGGTAATAAAAATTGTCCCAGTAATTATA